CTCGCCCCCAGGCCGCGGTTTTTCTGCGCCCTCGAGGGCCGAACGGCTGGAGATGCTCTAAGAAGCTCTCCTCGACGATGATCAAGCAGGCGCATGCAATCCAAGAGCATGACACCTTTCATTGTCGCACCAGAGCTCCCATCAAGGCCAGGACACACAAATTCATTGCAAAAGAAATCATATTCCCTGAAAAATGCAAAAGTGATCAAATCGGTAACATTTTTTTTTTTTGCAAAATACCTATGACAAATCTGTCCCCATCGTTCAGACACGACCCGAGGCACCAAAACGCCACACTTCTCGAAACATCCATCCAGCCTCGTCGCCGGCGACCTCACCCGCCGCCGCCGCCGCAGAAGATGCCTGTGAGGGTGGTCGACACCGCCACCCCTTCCTCGCAGGCCTCCTCAGGTTTCGCCCGCCCTCCCTCCCTCCCTTGCCCCCCTCCCATCTCCATGCTACCCACGCGCGCCCGCTTTGGCTCGTCGCGCGGCTCCCAGCTCCAGATCCGATCGGAGGCTGCTCCGGCACCTGCGCCGGATCGATCCAGCGCGTGTCGAATCTAGATCACCCTTGGGATTGGACCGGATCGTGCGAGTAATTTGGTATACTGTTGATTTTAGGATTTGTATGACTCTGTATCCTTCTGACCGCGTAGAGTAGGCTGCTGTAATTCGGCCACTCTTGCAGTGCGTTATTGTGATCTGGAGGAGGGTCCAGATGATTCTGTGAACCGGCTGCTCCAGTGCCAGCTGGGAGCACTGGGGATTTGGGGTAGAACCGATTGGTTCTGACCTCTGAATTCCTTTTGATTCCGTGCCAGCTGCTTAAGGAAGATTCCTGGATAATCAAGTGTTGCGTATGTTTGATTGATTTTGATTATTCATGGGTGGTGAATGTGTGTCACGGCGTTTGAGCTCCTGAATGCGTTGAGCGTGTCAAAAGCGGTGCTCAATACTGTTCCAAGTTGCTGTATTTGGAGAAAAAGAACCACGATAGGGATCTTGTTGTTCAAAGAACAGCTTGACCGTAAAATTTGGTCCACGCTTTTGCATCGGGGGTCTGAAATCGATCTAAAAAAAAAATTAACACGATTATCGCTTTGCAGCCTTAGCTGTTTTTATGACGCTTTTCTAGTTTGGCAGCTCGTCATATAATACTGATTGAAATTATTGTTGCAGGACAAGATGCAACTGCTGTGCAGCCGTCTCCTCCTAGCTGCTCACTCTTAACTGCTGGAAGAGTAAGTCTTTTTGGCGCGTATTTGAACTTTCGATTGAAATGGAACAGCTGAAGCTTGAATTATTGTTTACCAAAAGGGTTGTTCAAAACCGCAGTTATCATGCAATTTGACTGATTTTTGTTACTACCCTGTCCTCCCATAAGGGATTACCTGTATTTCTAGGGCCAAGGAAAACATTGTCATTAGTTGGGTATGATGTCAAGCTAGAGAGTGGTGTTGTTCCTCCATTTTTCTCTTTGCTATCCTCGAATTAAAGCTGTGGTGTTCATGTTACTGTGAATTAACCTAATCTACTTGTATATTTCATCCAGTGTTTTGCAGGAACTCAGAATGTTTCAAGTTTACAAAAAGATGAGGCATGGAAAGTCAATGTTCGTATCCATGGTTGTGATATTGAACAGGGTTATTTATGTGGTACGATGGAGGCACTTAATGTTCCCTTAGCCGACACACCTGTAAGAAACGTGTTTCTTCTTCCACTTTGACACCCTGACTTTATATGTTATATCTTTTCCTCAAGAAACATTTATGGACAGATGAAAACCAGTTTTTCCTTTTATAAATTACGAAATCCACTAGTTTCTTTGTCTTATTATCATTACTAAATTTCCAATGTCAAGTTGTTGACATGCATTTAGATGCACTAAATTAAATATGGGGTCACCATAGACTTTCTTAAATGAACTAGAGAAATGTGCTGCTGCAGGGGCAGACTGATTTCTCTCAAAAAAGGAGACCAGAGGGGGCGAGCCCCCATAGGCCTTTTACTAAGAAGAAACGATAAATTTGGGTGTGGTATTCACCCCTGTGGGGGCCGAACCCGGCTCGCACGGAGTACTATGCAGTGCTTCTACCACTGAGCTAGCGCTCAGGTCTCCGAGGCAGGCTTTTTTTAAGAAGTTCTAGAAACAATTGCACTACTTGAGAAGAAAATCCAACAGGTAGAAAATCAATATTGGGGTTTGAAAGCAAAAAAAATAAAGTACTTTTTGGATAAGCACCAGAGCTTCTAGATTTATAGTTGATGCATACCTTACGATCTGTTTTTATTCATTAACTTCAACTTCGCTTATTGGCTCTCTTTCATTCCATAGGTGGTGACATTCTGGGAGGGGGAGATAGTAGATGCTACAAATTATACTTTTTTTACTGGCAAGTGGGAGGCATCGTGAGTATCGTTTATGTCAATGCCATAGATAACTTTTGTTCACACATATATGTCCTGGTGCGGGCTAACATTCCAAACTTACTCTTGGAAACACAATTCTTGTTTTTGTTTTGCAGAGCAGAGGATGATGTAAGACACTGGTCCAAGTTCCCATCATTTACCCCTCTTCTGGTAACCAATTACTTAAATTGGTGTAGTCAGCAACATGAATTTGGGAATGTGTTACTAATTTATTTTGTTTTGCAGAGTCAGATTGAGGCAGATGGTGGCAAGTCCGTGGAACTTAGCAACTATCCTTATATATTTATGGTACTGTACCACCTGACATGTTCATATGTAGAAGCATCATCATATCTTGAAATGCTTATCTGTTGCATTTATTAGCTTCCAATTTTCTGATGCTACTTGCAGAGATGGAAAGAGCAGTACTTTGTTAATGTGGGAGTGGACTGCGGGTTGACCATAGCTGGTTTCTATTACGTCTGCTTTTCTTGTAGCGATGGATCCATTAGTGGCTTTTATTACGACCCAAACAGCAGGTAATGAATAATTTGCGACAGTTTACACATTGCAAGCTTACTACAGAATTTCTTATTTAGGAAGTTGTTTCAAACATCTTTTGTTTTCTTTGTGTGTAGTCCATTTCAGAAGCTTGAATTGAAGTGCACCAACGAGAAACAATCTGGGTTCACCTTTTCTTCATATGAGCTGCAGTGACATGCATGGCGCTATGAATTGAAGTGGCAGAGATTACACTGGCGAACTTTCTGTGCTTGCCAATATGAACATATACTGTGTGTGTATTGAACCCGTAGTTCCTGATGTTCCTTTGAAATAGTTGAGATATTATGTATGTACGGTTGTGCCAGTGAATGTTGCAAGACCAAACAATTATGTAACTTATCCTTTTGCAATCTCAGTATTCTGGGAAAAAAGTATCAATTTGTTTATTTTATCGAAAGTTCACCTGTGTTATTTTTTGTGTTTCTTGTCATAACATGGATGTATCCATATTCAGTGTGGTAGGCATTTTTTGTGCCTGTTTTCGCATAAATTAACTGTAGAGTTGAGTATTTTTTGGTTCAGTTATTGTCAACGGAATCTGTGACAGAATCATAGTGCCGAGGTTTATCTGAAGAGGAACTTGATCAAGATTGTAGTCCTTTACTTTACTCTCCTGTACAAAGGTAAAGAAACCTCCTTTTGGTTTCATTTTACAACACACAAGATGTTTTTACTATCAATTCTACGAACAAAGTATTATTCGGGGCATGCTCTTGGTCTTCGCCTCCAGCATCTATATACTGTAAGGTGAATAACTCTCTACCGATGCCGTGTCACTGTGTTCATCTCTTGCTTCAAGCAGTGGTTAATCCTCTAATTAATAGAACTCTTCTGCACCTGCATGTCATAAGTTTCCAGTTAGCTAATATAGTGTTCAGTGACATATTTTTGCAGATAGGATTGTCCTTGCACAATAGTGGCTTACCTTGTGCAGCACGAGGACGTGTAGACAGCGAAACAGGAGGTAATTCTACTCTCCCTTCTTGCAGGAACCAAGAAGAGATTGTCTTCGCCCTCTGCATCAAAGGCCTTTCGACATTCTCAGTCCACGCGTCTAACAGATTTAGGACAGCCTCAGTGATGACTTCCGCAAGTGCTTCGTCATCTGGACTAGGCTCCAGTTTGAGCAGAAGGTACCTATTAACTGATACTAATTTCTCTACCATGTGCCTTTTGTCGATATTGTATGCTACCATTGTATCTTGGATTCCAGAGACTATCTTGAGGGCAGCCTGGAATACTGTAGCACATGCCTTTCTGAATATCTCGGTTGTCGATTCAGGGCGTTCCTTGTCGCTCCACACTTTGTTTTCGATTTCTGGCCCGTATTCTAGTATCGGTGCAAATGTCACAGTCTTCTGCTTGGATGTTTTGACCCGCAGCTTCTTCGATTCCATCAGCATTTCATTGGCTTCCTTCATTTCTGACTCGAACCTGCTGCTGACCTTGAAGAATGGTTGTTCCTGGCAAGCGGTGGGGCTCGGGGCTGGCGTGTTCTGCCTTGATGATGCTTGCACGTAGACCTCAGGTTCGAACTCTGACTCAGCAACTGCAGTTCACATGGAAATAAAAATTTATCGTATTTCGTCGCAACTGAACTATAAAGAATTGGTGTGTTTGCTGAACTGAACTGGAGATAATTAGACAGGTGGTGTTTCATTTGAACTTAGCATACATGAAGATGGGTGTAGTGCCGTGCTTGGGGTTCCAAGGCGCTCATCATCATCGTATTGTCCCCCCCTGCCGTAGGTGTCATCCGAGCTGGGCCCGATACGTGGTGTCCACATCATCATCTCATCGTGCGGGGGAAGCTTCTTTTTGTGATGCAGAAGGTGCATCCATTTCTTAGCCTTGTTCTTTACCTTGCCCAGCACTTGCTTCTTCTGGCTCCCTCCTGGGGTCTTTGGTGACCCCGTGGGGCTCACCGGTGGTGCCCGCGGTGAAGGACTCGCCTGTAGCGTCCTCAATGAAGGGCTCACCAGCGGCGTCCGTGGTGAAGCGCTCACCAGCGGCGTCCATGGTGATGAGCTCACCAACGGTGAAGGCGAATAATATCGTTGTTGCTCCTCCCATTCATCATATGGAGTTTGGCCTGCAAACCAACGGTCACCCAAGGTTAAGCTATGGGCAATTTTCCATTTTCAGCAGGGTGAGCGCCCAAACATCTTTGTAGAGGAGAGAATGGCAAAACATTGATGAAGCCATGCAGCACCGCGAGGAATTGGAAACATGTGCTTAGGGGAAGATGAAATCCTGACAAAAATCACAATCGACACCAACAAATCTCTTACCGTGTTGGGCGACGTGGGGGTCGCCTCGCTTGCTGCTGATCCCCTTCTTCAATTTTCTGAGTCCGTTCATGTCTGTGTGCAGGAAATGAAGGCGAATCCGGAAACTGAAATTCGGGAGGAGCCGGAGCCTGCTTTTTCAGGGGACGATGTTGTGCTGGTAAAAGGCAAGCACAATGGGTTCTGCTGGACCTATCCTAAAGTTGGTAAAGTTGAGGTTGCCATTCCGTTTTGAAGTTATAGTGGCAGCAGGGGTGGATTTCGGGAGGGTAGCGGTTGCGTTTTGCCGTGCTATTTTTGGGGTGGTGTTTGGTGGTCAAGAGACCTCCAAAACTCTGTTTTTCCATATGTTTCATAAGATCATTGCTTTACTTCTCGCTCACTCTATTGCCTTTCTTGCTCCTCCCGGTGGCTAGATTTTATCCTCTAAGATTTATGAGCTCGTTTCCATATGTGTTTTATCAAGACATTTGTCTTATGTCAAGATTACAACACGATTATTCTCTGAATAGAGAGCTTTGAGATGGTATAATCTTGTGACCATCATCTTTTTTTATGTTTTTATCAACAAAGATAAATAAAAGCCAACAAAGGTTACTCAAAATATGAATTTTTAAAAAGTTATATCCATCAAACCGTTAACTTGATTGACGATCCGCTTTCACCATTGGCTTCCTCACGGCGAGACCTTCGAAACTAGATTTTATTTTTTTAGGAAGCCAATGGTGAAAGCGGATCCATGAACATACTAGTTTTTTTTTTCATCGGTGCTTGTCACATTACTCTTACTCAGGGTTCAGTTAGCATGACAAAGCAAAGCAGATCCATGAACATACCATGAGAGGGATTCTCGAAATGCCAATACATAAGCACAGAAACAATGAACATAGGAAAATAATAGTGCCTAATCGTAACCTTCCAACAAAATGTAGTATCTAAACAAACGACATATACCTGTAGCAACGCACAGGTACAATCAACATAACACAGTTTAAAACCATATCTCGGTTGTCTTATTGTCTGGAACCAAGCATTTTTTATAAGCAACACCATAATCGTGCAAGATGTTACGAACAACTGTTGAGGACGACACACTAAGCAGACACTCCCAATGGTTGCATATGTCATCCCTGTACTGCCCACTAGATTTCTAGTATCAAGAGGAAATATTAGATAGAATTGTCAAATAAGCACGCTGAATCACCCTAGCAGAGAATTAGAGTATATGATGTCATTAATATTCTGCAAGGAATTTCGTCAGAAGAAAAATATTTGGCAAGGATTTAAATAAACCAAAATAGATGCTGCAAGCTTTGTTCCTTTGGGGAGGATTGGAGTGCGCCATATAACTAAGGCCATTAGTTTACCACCTAATTATAACGATAAGAAACATGGCTGAGTTTATAAAACAACATACGCCTTAAGGATCTTAATTTCATATCACACACACACACACACACACACACACACACTTGCTAGAGAACACAAAAGTTATAAACTTAATAACAGTCACACTACCACTAAAACCATGATAAACATTGAAGGGAGATCAGGTTGCACACATGGAGGTGACTAATCAAAGAGGGAAATAGGGAAGAACTCACCAGAGCAGAGCCCACGGAATAATGAGTACATCCAACTTGCGTGCATTACTATCGGGGGTAGAACTGATGCCGTCCCAAAACTGGAGAAAATATGGTTGTTGTGCAAATGTTCTTTCGCTTGAACAAAGGATTTTGGAAATTGAAACCTGAAGGCATGATGCTTATCTCAGTCATATGTTAGATTCTGAAGAGCTACTTCAAGAGGCATTGCTTTATACTGAATCACCAGAGAAAGAAAATGAACACAATCAACATGCAACAAACATTGGATGCTATGCTAGTGCATGAGGAGAACATATCCAGGCTCGGAGAAACAACCTTGTATCTTTAATGAAAATCATATATGAATCATCTGGAAAATAATACTAAAACTTAAGCAGGATAAAGGAATCGTTTCTTGCTGGATAAACTGCACATTTGGTGGGATTTGCATCAGACTGTTACCTGGAGATTCGGATTCAGCGACTACCATGATGTGTAATTATTTCCTTTCGTGTTCAAACGTACGCAAGAGAATCGATTACTTTGATACTGTTATATGCACTAGCATCTATAAAGCTAGAGGCTGCCATTGACAATTTCCTTCTTCTCTGCACGCAGAAGAAAAGCCTACTGACCGGAATAAATACTCTGGATCAAGTAGTGCTCAGGAATCACAGTTCTGAACAGTGGCCAAACATGTAGAGAACCTCTTGTGGAAAGTTCAGTTCATCGGTTCACTGCACCGGTATGAACAACTTCCCTGTTTTTGGCTTTGCTCTTCTGGCCCGCTTCCCGGCTCACATGCCTTAATCGGTGACAACTTCATTTCCATCTCCACTTTGGCAAAGCAAGCATAGATTGCATAACAAGATGCAACAGCAGCAAGAGAAGGAAGAGCAGGTTCACCTATAAACAGTAAAAGATAAACTTTAGGATGTAATACTCTGGATCAAGTAGTGCTAAGGGAGCATGCTCTCTTGCCCCTGGCTTAGAAATCTCCTATTTACATAGGATGTAAATAATACTGAAACTTAAGCAGGATAAAGGAATCGTTTCTTGTTGGATAAACTGCACATTTGATGGGATTTGCATCGGAGTGTTACCTGGAGATTCGGATTCAGTGACTACCATGATGTGTAGTTATTTCCTTTTGTGTTCAAACGTACGCAAGATCGATTACTTTGATGCTGTTATACTAAGAAGACTAGGCCCGTAAGGGTTCAATTTTTCTGGTTTTTTCGGATTTTTTTTTTACCTCTGCCGATTGAGCGACATGTGTGTACGGTGGCTTTCATGAAGTGGTTGATCGCTCTCCTGGTTGCTCTCTTGGACTGTGCATGTTTCTTCTAGAGGTGCATGGGCTTATCTTGTCTCATATGGAAAGATGGTTTGACTGCATGGGCTCATTTTGTCTCATGTGTGAAAAATATATTAGCTGCATGGACTGTTGTATGGGCTGGTGTACGGTGCTGCTGCATGGCTCATGCATGCATGCATGTGTCCAACTTTGCATGTTTGGAGTTCCACGTTTGCACACATTTGTGTTCTGGGTCCTTCTTTGCTTGCCTATAAGTAGCTCATTGCTTTGTTCTTCTCTCATGTATCAAACCACTCCTCACCTATAGGCCCATCTCTCCTCCTGATGCTGCCCTCCAGCCTCCACCCAAGATCCGCCTGGTCGCCGCTCCGTCTAGCCAGCCGGGAGGTGCGTGCAGGCTACACCATGAATCAGGAGAGCCGCGTGCCATCGTCTCCTCATGGATCTTCCTCGGCTCCGGCTCTGTCCCTGGTCTCCAAGGCCGGATACATGGTGGTCGCCTTCCCGTGGTCCAAGGTGGCAGGCCCGCAGTTGGCGCTGGATAGCTCGCTGCCCTGCTGCTCTCCATCCTAATCGACTCCCCTCGGTCTTCCCCAACTTCGGCCCCGGCAACAGGCCCCCTTCATCTGCCTTTCCTCTCCTCTGGGGTGCGTGGTTTCCTTGTACGAGTAGATGAGTTATTTGTACTAGAATTTCATCAGATCTAAAGTTGGGTGCATATGCTACAAATTGTTAATCTAAGAAAATATTCAGGCACTACGTGAATGTCTGTGCTAAGGACACAAATTTGGGGATCCTTGCGTGAATGTGCAAGGAATTCAGAATCTACATCTTTAATATGACATGGTATTTTTGTTCTTAATCTCTCCATTACGTTGTGTTCCATTTTTCTCAATGGAAGTAATTGTGGTTTAATTTCACATGATTTTTAAACAAATAAACACATGATGTGCTGAATAGCTGACATACAGAGGAAATGGTACAGCTTGATGACTATTGTAGTACTAAATTATTCTCAGGTATTTATTGTTCATTTTGTGATAGTTTTCTCTCTCCTAAAAGTAAAACGAATCATTTTTAATTCTTTGAACAAGTTTGCCTAAAGTAGGGCGCTCAGCCATTGAGGCATTATCAATTTCTTTTAGAAGCTTCGCAAAATCTGCTCTTGTACTAAAGAAATCTAATGTAGATTTGTTAGCCTCATAGGGTACTATATGCTGAACACATGATATTAAACATAGAGTAAATTGCACTATGAAGTGAGTATGTATGTAGTATCCACACAGGATTGCCATTTTTGGAGCTATTGCTGGGATCATCATGGATTGGGATGCATTCTGATAATAAGATATTAGGTATTGATATGTGATATGTATGCCACACTTGACTTCATCATCCTTTGTTTTCAGATGTATTCTTTAGGCACACATTAATGTGGTAGCTTGGTCATATTCTGTAGCTAATTTAGTCACCACAATACTCGGGTTTTTTCCCCGAATCTCACTATAAAGAACTTCCACTTGCCATCTCTATATGGATTTTCTTTTTGCTACTGATTTTGGCTAAAGGTTTTTCTGCTCTCATCTCTATATGGATATGCTTTTTTTCAGGTTAGTAGTTTAGGAGTTCCTGCCAACACTGGTTTTTGGAAGTTATACTCACTTCACCAGTTGGGCTTAACAAGGACATAATTAATTCTCTGTTGGTAATTAGAAGGAAAAAAAATCTGGTTGGAGAAAACTTCTCTTTTGCTTAATTGTTTGCTTCATAATTTTAGTAATATTTTTTTTTTCATTTTTTTAGGTTAGTAGTATGGGAGTACCTGTCATGAATAACTTTTGGAAGTTATGCTAGCCTCATCAATTGGGTTTCTATACCAAACTAGACTCAATATAATTTATGTTGGTGCTTGCGATGAGTATTACAGAGGGGTGATGACCACATAGTTCACCCAGTGTATCTGTTCATGTATGTTATTAATTATCTAATTAGACAAACAAAAACTCTGTCTGTATGGTGTTTGCGATAATGCTATCAATTCACTGAACACTAAAATACAAGGTTGTGATTTTCAAATCTAGCAAATAAATTTTCTCCAATGCTTCTTTTCCAGGCAGAAGTTTTAGTCTATTCTATGCCATGAGTCTTACTGTCAAAAAAATACTATAT